TTGTATGGGCATGAAAATTTCAGAAAAGTCCCATCTTATACCAGGTAAAAACATACTAAAAATTCAGATCGGTCAAGGCAAGGATGAGGGAGAGGGGGTTTAATTTGTCGCCCCGAGGCCAATTTTGCTATTTTACCCCTAAAAAACCACAAAAATGCGATTATTTTTCGACGAGCTCCGACAACCTATTTCGAAATTGCCCAAAAACCCATCAGGGAGTACCCCACTACAACCTCCAACTTGAATTTTTGATGTACAACAAAGTCGCATTTAAAGTGAGTTCAGGCGCACCGTGCAGTAGATTTTAGATCCCGGAAAAATTCTTTAAATTTTTTTTTTACTATTTAAATCTTTTTTTAATTTTTTCTCTCCATTTTTCCCTCTTGTTTTAAATTTCTGAAAGTTTGCATATTTTATTGAGATAATGCTACAAAGTCTATTCTATAACAACGTTCAATAAACAATACGGTCTGACATGCAGTTTTTTTCTTTTTTTATTTATTTATTTATTTATTTGCACAAATACATTAAACATTGTACAGAGAAGAGCTTTTAGACTTGTACGTCTTTAAAAGCAGTTTTAACTTTAGCCTTAATAATAGCTACATATTTATTTTTAACAAAAATACCGACCTAAAATGAGTAGGTGGAGAAATAAAATATAGAGCCCGATTATTTCTAAATAATACGGTTCAATTTTTTTAAACGAGTTTCAACGGGTAGACCGTCAGAAACTAACATCGTTTCTCCTTGTATGTCCAGGCGAAGCGAGGAACGTTAGGAGGCGAGTGATTAAAATTATAAGACTGAAGTCTTATAACAAATGGTTAGATTTATCCTAAATAATATAGGATAAGTAGACTGCTAAAGCTAAATTGTAGAGAGTTATCTGTTTAGGGATCGTCAATGACTTCCAATCTTGCAATTAGTGTTACAATTTGTTTCGCTAATATATCTATTGAATTGATGAGATTTGTCATGTTTTGGACTTGGTTAGAAATTACCTTTTCTACTTCATTCAATCTTTTATCAAGTAGATCAAAATTGGAGTGATGATCAATATTAATAATCTCCTCTCTAGTTTTGTTATAGGATGCAGTGATAATTGAAAAAATTAAAAACATGAATTTTTCCGGGATCTAAAGTCTACTGGGGACCAACAGTTTCTCTTCATTTTTAAAAAGTTTCACAGAGGATCTTAATTTGTCCACTAATTCCCCCATTTTTGACCACTGTGCGATGTACATCTGTGAAGCTGAACACAATTTCATGCATTGAGGACCGATAAGAACATTGTTATAGTCCACGCCACGAAAAGTGGCGGGTGAGGGGCGGAGACAGTCGGCCGGTCTAGTCTATCGTTGAAGGGTTGAAGCGCAGGTATTGGCCCAGTCGTTACCCCGTTTCAACTACGGGCCAATACCTGCGCTTCAACCCTTCAACGATAGACTAGACCGGCCGACTGTCTTCGCCCCTCACCCGCCACTTTTCGTGGTGTGGACTATAGCCATGAAAACTGCAGCAGACCAACAATTTTACTTCTGTTTCTAAAAATTTGACAAAGAATCCTGATTTGTCGACAATTTCTCCCCAGTTTGGACCACTGTGCGACCAAAATTTTTGAAACCTAACAGTTAAATGCTTGGGGGCCCAATGAGAACATTTACAGCCAAAACCCATCAAAGGTGTAACTTTTTTGTCCATTTTTCCCGTCTTTTTGCTGTAGAAATGCTGTCCAGAATGATGGCGATTTCGCAACTTTGCCCCATCATTTCTCAAAAACCGTGCATGAACTCAAGCCAAAATTTTTACCAGAGTTTTAGGGTATTATAAGGTATCGTTTGGGTCCGGTTTCAGAAAAATCCCCGCTGGTCCAAATTGTGCCATTCTTGGCGTCGCTCTTTGCGACGCCATTGCCAATGAAGGCCACCCTGAGTTGCTGAGTTAGCTTTTAGGAAGTTAATCCACAACTACTTCAATATTCAAATACCCTTGTCAGAAGAAAACAGGGACTCCATTAGCAGTGAATTTGAAAGGCGCCTCCCCAGGCACATGAAACCTCAAGTGCTCACTTCAAGTGCATGGCATTCTATTCATAAGATGATTTGAATTCAAATTATCTTTGCAGGGCGGATGGTTGATGTTAAGTTGGTGGGAAAGGACGACAAGAAGAGAAGACACAATTCACGTGGACGCCATAACAGTAGTGTATTGAAGGGAGCCGCTTCCACAGGAGCCTGGGCGGCTAGGCGCTTATAGTTGCCATATCGACATGTGCCTTTTTTATATTTGAAAAGAAAATGCTTACATTAAAACTAGTTAATTAGATAAGATTTATGTAACAATCATTAATACAACACATAATACTTAAAGTATTTAACATCATTCAACAAAATCAAAAATGATAATGACTTGAATACACAGCTAATAACAAACATGATTAGTTCATTATTTGAATTAAATAATAACTAATATAAAATGGGAGATGCTAAAATTGTTAATGATTAAAATAATATTTGAAATTGATAAAACACAAAACATGAAATCACAAGGAACTTTAATTTGTTAATCAGGGGAATATCTTTCTGGTGCCTTTGAGATTCTTTTACCTCTGCCTATTGTTTTCTGTTGAGACGTTACAAGTGTAGCAGGTCTGTATTCTCTTTTGAATAGTGGGGGGAGGGGGGGGGAGGGGGAGCCTGCAAGGTGGAAAATTCAGAGTCAGACTCATTGGCACTGACTGTTAGAGTTTCTGGGCGTTGAATTTTAACAGAGGGTTTTAGAGGCATGGTATTTGGAAATTCAGCTGATTCAATATTTGATTCCGTATTCTGTTTTTCAACATCAACAGAGGGCTTATGATGTGAAGTCAGTGGCGTGCGGTGGGTTCAGTGACAGGGCAAGCTCTAGCGTTCGCCATCCGGGAGGGGGCGGGGGTTAACGTAGCCTCTTTCCCTTCCTCCTCCCCCTAGCCTCCCCAGGAAATTCTCAGAATTTTACTCTATTTGCTCTATTTTTCGGATGAAATCTGATGGAACGTCTTGAAAAACTGTTGAAGCTAGCATTTGGGTACAGGAGAACGAAAACGCAGAGGATTAGGCCATTAGACACAAGCTGTATTAAGAGAAGTACATGAGTATGAGCGATCAGAGGATCTTACAAAAGATAACAGAGGTTAGCACCAACCGTGCACGTGACTTGGTACTACCAACATAAACCGGGATAGGTACTACCAACATAGCATTAATACAACTAGGACAGATTGTCCATGTCCAACACTTCTCTTCAATCTGGACAGTAAAAAAGAAATCACAGGCTAAGAAAGATATTATGCATAAAGATACAAGAAATTTAAGTGCCTGTATTAAAGGATTTCAGTTCATGATTAAATCAGATAACAATTGAACAAACAAAGTTTAACTGAACTGTAATTAAGGATTTGGCTTTCTTATTTAGAAAAATATTACAATCAAATAAAAATTAATTTATCAGGCCAAAACCTTTAACGCAAACCTTTAATTTGGGAGCTGGAACTGGTTTTGTGAGAGCGTCAGCAATCATTTCTTCATCGGGTACATAAGATACTTTAATATTCTTATTTCTTATCTGTTCTCTAATGAAATGATATTTCACATCAATGTGCTTGGTTTGTCGATGGAGAATAGGGTTTTCTGACAAATTTAGAGCACTTTGATTATCACAATTAATTAGAATGGGACCAGATCTATCTATTGATTCTGAAAGTAAATTCTTTAAGTATATTGCTTCCTTGGAAGCATCAGACAGAGAAATATATTCTGCCTCTGTACTAGAAAGTGATGTTGTCGCTTGTTTGCGACATTCCCAGGAGATAGCAGCGTCAGAATAAACAAACACATTTCCCGAGAAGGATTTCCTACTTGGGCAATTGTTCGCCCAATCAGCATCAGAAAATCCTATGATGTCTTCCTTTAAGTTCCTAAAACACAGAGAAATATTAGATGATCCTTTCACATAACGCAAAATACGTTTTGCTGCACCAAAATATTTGGAAGTCGGCTTTGTATTGAACTGGCTTGAAAATGTGACAGCATAAGCAATATCTGGTCTTGACGTTACAGCAAGGTAGAGGAGAGAACCAATTAGTTGTTGATATGGCTTCACTAAACTTTCTTCATGCGGAATATCTGAAGTAAGAGGAGGCTTCAGGTCAGATAAGGGAGTATAAACGCACGGCTCCGTTGAAGGAAAGTTTTATGAAAAGTGAATGTACATCTCCGATATCTTCGGCATCTTTAAGTAGGGTGAAAATACTATGTTTTTAGCCAAAAATCGAAATGTGTTGTTCGAGCTCCTCGAAAAATATATCGACTTTTCGGTTTTTTTCTCAAAAATATCACGAAATCGAAGAGATTTAAATTTTTTACAGGGACAAATCTTATCGCAAACTAAAATCCAACTATACCATGAAACAGCTCTTTCTTTCAGCTTTCTAACGGTCTATAGATTTTGTAATTTGGAGCAACTGGCCGCCTATTAACGGAATTTTGTGAAGTGCGATGCTGAAAGTGTATTTAAAATATAGGAAGATTGGAATTGAAAGATCTTACCTTTTCAGGAGAACTAGACACAGTGAATGGTGAGTTGCTTCGAACTGCTTTTTTCTTGCATGAAATTTTTGCCGTCAATTCTGTAATACTTAGAAAAAATAAACTAGACTGCTGAGTGGAAAATAATTCTATGTAGGATATATTGGTAAAGCTACCTCTAAACTTTGAAAGGGAGCTCTGTCCAAGTATTAAAGGAACAGAAAATGTCATTGAGAATTTTATGATGTCTTTGAAAGAATGTAAATGTATCAAAAATCAGTAATTTAGTCTGCGGGGGACTGAAACTCTTAATTTTTTGGTGTGGCTAAATGCAACAAATTTTGTTGCGTGGCGCCACGCAACAAAAATCGTTACATTTAGCCACACTCATTTTGATTGTTTCATTTAGCCACAGCACCTATAAGTTGTGGCTAAACGCAACAATTTTTGTTGCGTGGCGCCACGGGCCGTGGCTAAATGAGATGTAATCTTTTGGCGGCATTTGTTTGCCCAATGACCTTTCTTGCTACACAAATTACATCTAGAAGTCTTGGATTTAGAACGACCTCCAAAGAAAGCTTGTCTATTTTCATTGGTTTTAATATCCTGATCCAACAGCTTACCCTTAATAAGATCTGAGGTTATGACTGTATTGGAATTCTCGATGGCTAACACCATTGCATCATTTTCAGGAGTTACACCACCAAGCATTAAAACTCCTGATGTGGGTCGGTGGTCGAAATAAATAAGACGCGGATGATCAACTAAAAGACATTTATTATAGCGAGATCACGACGTACACACTCGAAGCAAGGAGGACGGCTCTGGCAAGTGGCCCGTGTCTCGTCGTTCGTGTGGCTGTTTCCAGGTCGGGCACACACCCTATTGATGGTGGCTATGATGCCACATGGCCTTACTGCACCTCCCGATTTTTTTTTTTTTAATTTCCGATAATTATGTGGAATGCAACTAATTTCTGAGATATAAACATACTCTGAAGCTTCGACTTCATCAAGGTGCACTGAAGGTGCTGAATTTTCAGGACAAATCACTTCGTTAATACGGCACATTTTCTGAAAATGATTTCGACCCAAACATTTCTTACACTGCTGCCGATAAGCAGGACACTGTCGCACAGGATGTTGTTGACCACAGGAACGACAGTCAATGATTCTCGATGGCTGCTGTTGATTGGGCGAGTTGTACCTGTTTTGATGGTTGTAGCCTTGTCCAAGGTTGTTGTTTCGTCCTTGTCCAGCGAAGTTGTTTCCTTGATTTGAGAGGTTGCTTTGAAATCTTCCACTATTGACTAGATCAACACTTGATGCTTTGGGTTGATTGACTTCATCCGACCTCTTCTTTCCTACTTCAACGGAGAGGCACAAGGAAACTACTTTCTCTAACGGCAGTTCCTCGCCGAGGAGAAGTTCTCTCAGTTGAACATTATGGATGCCTATGATGATTCGGTCTCTGATAAGTGAATCTCTCAGCTTTTCGAATCCACAATCTTCGGCTAATTTTCTAATTGCCATATAAAATTGATCAAATGATTCCCCTTCTTGTTGATCATGATATTGAACAAGTATCTACAGTAAGCTATGTTTAGTTTAGGCTTGGCAAATTCAGTTAGAACTTTTAGAAGACCATCTACTGTTTTCTTTTGAGCTTCAGTAATGATGAGGGTGTTAAGAATTTCTTATGCATCAGTGCCTTATATATTGAGAAAGATAGCGACTTGGACTTTCTCATCTTTCTTGTCTAACTCGTAGCCTATACTTTAATTGAACCACTGTTTTTTGAAGCGTTTCAGGTTTTCATGGACGTTTCCAATGAGAGAAAGGGGATCGGGAGTTCGCAATTCCATCGTTTTAATTGCAAGTTTGAAAAATTCTGGAATGCAATAATTGCTTAGCTTATAATAATGGTAGGTGCTTCAACCGCTACTGTTATCAGTTATTACCTTGTAGCGTATGGAGATCAAGACATTATAAAAATTAAAAACAATTCGAATCAAGTCGATTGGATAAAATTCACTGAAATCACTCTAGCTGTGGATTCTGCTTAAGCGTCATGTCGGGGGATGACTTAAAACAATCTATTTACCCATTTTCTTCTGGTGATCTGCGGCAGTGAGAATGGTGGCATAACAGGTGCATGGCCAGTCCCCAGTTACTTAGCTGATCGGGTGAATCCGATGATTTCCGTCACGTTATCCTCGTCGCCATGATGTGGGTCGGTGGTCGAAATATATAAGACGCGGATGATCAAAGACATAAAAGACATTTATTATAGCGAGATCACGACATACACACTCGAAGCAAGGAGGACGGCTCTGGCAAGTGGCTCGTGTCTCGTCGTCCGTGTGGCTGTTGCCAGGTCGGGCACACACCCTATTGATGGTGGCTATGATGCCACATGGCCTTACTACAACTCCTATGAATTCATCCTCTAAAGGTTGACTAATCTCAGCTATTTGCTGTTTTAGATTTAGAATTTCGCTCACATACTTTCACATATTGGTGAATGTCTCCAAAAGAGTACTGAAGAGGTTGCGTAAGAGTTGCAATCTTCTAGATAGGCCATTACTTTCGTAAGCCTTTTGGTGATTCTTCTAGATTTCAGAAGGGGTAGAAGCAGTTCTAACATGCACAATACACAGGGGTCGAGCATCAAACAAATTTTAGCTGTCGCTGATACTAAGGTTAAATAGCGCAAAGCGCTGTTTTACCTTAGTCGCTGACACTTCCGATACCATGAGGTTGGCTGGCTTGCTGGGGTCCGTAATATCCCACAGGTCATCGTAATCGAGGTAGCCTTTCATCTGAAATTTCCACAATGAGAAATTCTCCTGGCCCTTTAGTTTCTCAAAGGTCGGTAGAGATGCTGAGCCAGCGATGATGGTTTGGAGATTAGCAGCATGTTCAGCACCAGCACCAGTGGAGTCCTGCGACATGGTTGATTCCTGAAGTCAGTCCCACAATAGTTTCCGCGATGTAGAGAGAATAACTCGCGATGTTTCGGGTACAGCTCATAGGATTTACCGATTCACGATATAACGAACGAAATTTTCGAGTTACACGTTAGTTACATAATCTCGGATGCTTCGTGAAGTGCCGGAGTACCGATTTGCCGATTTGCGGAAAAAACTCATAGAGCCGCGGGCACGCGAAAAAGGAAAAAACGCACATCACTACTAATTAAGTAGTTAAGCGGTGGTGGGCCAATAACCTTTTGAAGCTAGCATTTGGGTAAAGGAGAACGAGAACGCAGCAGAGGATTAGACCATTAGATACACAAGCCAAAGACATAAAGACGGAGCGCTAAAAGCAAAAAATGGAGCTTCTTTTCAATCACCTCTACTATTGGCTATAGGATTGGCGGCGAAATCGGGACAAGTTTAAAATTCAAATGTAGGGCGGGAACTAAATGAAATTGCGGAAACAAAGTATATTAGGTTGATTTTTGCCCAAATTCACTTACACACTCATATTTGTATAACTTCAGGTTAGTTTTGGTCCGTCGTCGACCGATTAATCTCATTTGGGAGTAACTGTCATCTACGATTGTAACGGCCTGTTTGAACCGGTAGAACCACCATGAGCAGAAGAAAAACTAACTTTATCTGAGATTACTGCCTGTTACCGAGCAAAAGTAAATGTATTATAGTAGGACGCAGTCCCAACTTTCTTAATATATTCGTTTTAGGCATTTAAAATACGTTTCGAAGAAGAAATGTGGAAAAATCAAGAGGACAAGTTCAAATCAAATTTCCGTTTGCCGCCATGGATTCCCGCGCTCATTTACACACTCACACAAGCACCCAGCGTCAAACCAGGCTTTATTTTTCCTCCGTGCTTTTAGATACGAGCACTCCGTCTTTATGTCTTTGACACAAGCTGTATTAAGAGAAGCACATAAGCATGAGCGATCAGAGGATCTTACAAAAGATAATAGAGGTTAGCACCAACCGTGAACGTGACTTGGTATTACCAACATAAATCTGGATAGGTACTACCAACATAGCATTAATACAACTAGGACAGATTGTCTATGTCCAACAAAAACTGTGGTTGTATTTCTTTCTCTCTTACTTATGATTTCGGTTAAGTACTCAACTTTTTTCGAATGCTATTCAGCATTGGAGGACGGCTCCATGCTCTTAACTTCTAATTTTGCCACTTACTTAAGGTATTATAGTCTTTACAGAATTTAGAATTTTTTGACTTAAATTCCCCTGGTAAAAAAGACGACTACGCTGCGACTATGCTGCGAATACATAGCATAGCCGTGTGCATATGTAAGAAGTCGCAGTGTAGTCACATNGGATCCCCCCCCCCCCAAAAAAAAACAGGTTTCTGCATATAAAACATGATTGAGAATTGTCTAATTCATCACCAAGCGAAATTTGAGCGAAATTTTATAGAATTTAAGGGCATTTGCTCCGGAGGAGCAATTACAACCGCGACGGAAAGAGGGAACAAGATAGCGCATCGTAGGCAGAAGCAGCGCGCTGCGGTGACGGGCCAAGAAAAGCTAGCTGCGATCGCGCAGAGAAGAGGCCTCGATAGACGATCAAATTCCCGAACCAATTCCGATCAAAGTAGCATCAAAGTGTCGGGAGTCATCAGCCCTAAACTCATTAATTTGCTTCATTTTAAAATGAAAACTTGGCAGAAATGTTTCCTGTGGCAGGAAATGATGAATGGTGACACTCCGTTCTGATCTTACTTTGAACAAAAAAGTGCGGCCCGTCAAAATTTGATGGTAGATGGTGACCACGAGTCATCAGCATGTCTACTTTGATCGGAATTAGTTCGGAATTTGAACGTCTATCGAGGCCTAAGGACTCGGAACCGCCTCCCCCCGAGGCTCTCCCCGCCTGCCTTGATTCCGCCGCCGAGCAGTGATCTCCGCTCAGCTGATTGCAAGTGATTCTCCAGAGCATGAGTTGGCCCGTGTTGAGGCCGCGCAGCGCGCTGCGCTACTCCATCCGCTCTGCCGCTTTCCTACTTTTGTGGCTCTATACGTTTATCCGTCTCTCTCTCTCTTTCTGTTATTAATGCATTTACTTACTCAACACCTTTTATAAATTATACATAGGCTGTCTAAAAAGTACCGAGACTGGTTCCATAACTCAAAAACCAAGATAGCTGGAGGTTTGATCTTGGTCTCATTTGAAAGATCAACTCAATAGCTATCGATTGAGATCAAAATCAAAACTTTCGGTCAAATATTTCAAAAGTTACAACACTGTTTGTAAAAAAAGTATCTGGACCCCCTACCGTTTTCTATGACCATTTTCTCTTGCCGGGAACACTCTAAATTCATGATCAGTGCACGGTTCTTTTGCAACTAATCATGGCAAAACCTAATTGATTTGGAAACACTTTCAAGTCATCGTCGTCCGACTACGGGTATAAGGGTTCAAAGTACTCGGGGACTGAATGAACCGTTAGTCAGCCACCCCCAAAAAACCCGGGTAATTTTCGGCAGTTGTTGACAGTTCACATTGCGTGCGTGGTCTACGCTGCAAATAGTGAGTGATTTTGTTTCTGTGTTTGAAATTTTCGATACCACTGCTTTATCTCTTTCCATGAAGATATCAAAAATTTCGAACACAGAAACAAAATCACTCAGGGTCGGACTGGCGCACCTCTGAGGGCGCAGACCCTTAGCCGGCGAAGGGGGCGCAATGTGATATTTCGCTCAGGAGTATGCGGGAACTTATCCCATTCGGAAAAATGTAAAATCGATCAATCAAAGAAAAGCTATTGGAGGCATCCAAACACCATCATCTCTGGAAGAAGCAAGCCAGAGCTCAAGAGATCCAATAAAATCATGCTTTTGAAAACTGACAGTTTGAACATGAGGGACACAAGAAAACAAGAAATATTTCAGACCCCGTATATTGTATAAAAAAGTAAAACGATATATTTTAAATTTAAATTTTTAAATGTTTTAACAAAGTAGGAGCAATAAATATACTTGCTACATAGCTAAAGAAAAGAAAAATGAGACAAGGGGACAGAATACAGATCTATTACATGCTCAGGAGTTTGCGGAGTTCTGTGCCTTTCTCGCACAATTTTTGAATGATCTGTTCATCAGAGATACGCAGCAGGATGTCTCGTTTGTCAACCATCGGCATAAATGCCTCAAGATTGTCTTGCACCATCACTGACCGCAAGCGCGTTTTTATTATTTTCGTTGAATCGCAACAGGGTAAATTGCACAATGGCTTAGCAATTCTGTCACGGTTAGAGCGCCTAATGCCAGCATCAACTGCTGTTGCACCTTGGTTTTCTACAGGAGGCAGTGGCTCAATGTCATTTTCTGTGCGATCTACAATTTCTGGTAGGTGATCTGCAACTGCATTCACGGTTTCTTCACTATCGCTGAAAGAGAGACGAAAATCAAATTTATCATTTTTCACCTGTAGTGTATCGTCAAGTGGTTTTTCCAGAACGGTCTCAGATTTAAATGGAAAAATGTGTTCTTGAAAAATGACATCACGACTCAGGATTGTTTTCTTTCTCTGCAGACTCCACAGACGGTATCCTTTAACGCCTTCCTGATAGCTTATGAACACACATCTCTCCGCCCTAGGGTTCAACTTGCCAGGAGATTCCACTGCTGGCCATGCTTGGCATCCGAAAACTCTTAGCGCATTGAGTTCCGACTCTTCAACTTTCTTACTTCTCCACAGTTCAAGTGGTACCTGGTTTTCAATGGCAACTGAAGGACTTAGGTTCCGCAAATAACTGGCTACTGCCAGTACTTACTACTTACTACTTAAGCACTTAAGTGTTTAATACTTTAAGAGCCTCAGCCCAAAAATAGTTTGGAAGTCCAGATTGAATGAGTAAAGACCTCACAACCGTCATCAGTGTTTTGTTCATCCGCTCTGCTTTTCCATTTTGTTGTGGGTTCCTAGGTACTGACAAACGATGAAGAATTCCTTCAGCATTCAGATGCTGGATGAAAGCGTTGCTCAGGTATTCTCCTCCATTGTCACTCTGTAGCTTTTTTATTTTCTTGCCATGAAGATTCTCTCTCCACCTTTCTTTGGAATTAAATGAATTCTATCATAGCATCGCTTTTCTTCTTGATGGGTATAGCAGTTACAAAATTGGTATGATTATCGATAAATGTGATGATGTATTTCGCTCCTCCCAGGGATGTTGGCTTAATCTCACCCGTGACGTCAGAATGAATGCGACCTAAAGGTTCTTCAACTCTCTTACTAGAGTCCGGAAACGGGCGTTTCTGCATCTTTGATTGAATACACACTTTGCAGTCAAGATTTGAAGGTAGCTTGCCTCCAGTTGTGGTTGAAACTGGGAGTTTCTTCAAGGCATCAAGGTGAAGATGTCCTAACCTCTCATGCCATGTAGTTAAAGACACCCTAGTCAGCTTGTTCTTCATGTCTTCAATCGTTCCACTGAAATTATTCGTAGTAGCGTAAACCAGCGTTCCAATTTTAAAACCTGTGAAGAGTATCTTATTATGAAGGGATACCACAACTTTTCCATCAGCTCTGATAATTTTGCAACCTTTCCTCTCTAAACATCCTTCCGAGATGATGTTGTCTTCTAATGTTGGCACATGTTGCACGTCAGTCAACAAGATTGCTCTTCCACCACATTCTTCAGAAAGTTTAACACGAACAGTACCGATACCTTTGGCATTGACAGGTTTCCCGTCACCTAGTTTGACATTTCCTTGTTTAAGACTCAAAGTTTCGAACAGGTTTTTATCATTTACCATATGGTGAGTGGCACCTGAGGACCGTAGAGATTTTCTCTGACGAGCACACAAAACTGAAACTGCATCACTATCTTCATCGTCATTTACAGTGAGCACAGTAGCTTTCTTTGCTGGTTCCTTATCTCTGCCCTCTGAGTCTTTCATCATTTGCTTGAATTTTTCACATTGCCATGATTTATGTCCATCATCTTCACCGCATGTAAAACATATAATCTTCTTAGGTGTTCCCTTCTTCTTACACTTCTTGAACACGTCCTTTCCAACTTTCTCAGTCCTTAGTGAAAAAGCTTTCCCCGAAATATCACCTTCGTCTCACTTAAGCCGTTTCTCTTCCAACAAGAGTTTTATCTTGACCAAGTTGAGCGTTAACTTTGACTCCTCTCGCTCTAATCCTCGGACAAAACCCTCATACTTCTCCATTGGCAAGCCCATTAAGACAATTAAGGCCAGGGTTTGGTTAGGGAATTCAATTCCCACCTTAGACATTTTCCGGTAACAATTCTGGATTTTACCGACATAATCATGGACACTAGTTTCTTCATCTTTCGAAACGTTGAACAGCTCTTTAGTCAAAATAATTTGATGCAACAAGCCATACTTAATTGGAATGTGCTTC